ATCGGCAAACAAAACTCTACCCTCTACCATAACTCTACAAGATCTATAAATGGTTTTTGATACTAAAACCTCCTTAGAAGGAGTATTCACCACAAGCACACAATCAAGGGTCTCAGGCTCCACATGCAAAAATGGCACATACTTAGGTGACACAAATGAGTGGGTAGATCAAGAGTCAATCAACACATGGGCATTCCCAAAAGAGACAGGTATCTTACCTTTTATAACTGTAGGAGTGTTTCGAGCTTGTTGTTCTGTAATGGCAAAAACTCTTCCTTGAACCCTGGGCTTCTTATTATCTTGATCCTTTGGCTGCTGACTTGCTCCCTTGAGAATTGGGCAATCCTTGATCAAGTGGTCAGTCTTCCCACACTTGAAACATGCCCCAATCTGCCAATAACATTCTTTTCCCCCATGGTTCTTACCGCACCTCTTACAAAAATCAAAACTTGGTCGGTTGATTTCGGGGATCTTCCTTTTTCCCCTTTGTTCAGGCTTTTTGTTGAAAGGCTGGGTGTTGATAGCCTTTCCCTTGCCTTTTGAGTCATAAGTCTCCATTCTTTGCTCCTCCATATCTTGCTCAATTATTTGAGCCGTGGCCAAGACCTCATCATAAGTCTTTAGCATTTGAGGAACCACCCTGTTCCTAATGGAAGCTTTCAACCCTCTTTGAAACTTCCTTACCTTTCTAACTTCATCATTAACAAGATGAGGAGCAAACTTCATAAGAGAACTGAATTTAGCTTGATACTCATCAACTGTCATGTCATCTTGCTTTAAATTCGTGAACTCTAGTTCCTTTCTTTCCAACACAGCTGCAGAAAAATATTTTCGATAGAAGGCCTGAACAAACTTGTCCCATGTAACCTCCTCTCCTCTCTTAGAAAACCCATCTTGAGCAGCTGTCCACCAATCATCAGCTTCACCTTCTAATGTGAACACTACTAGCTCCACTTTTTGCCCGTCAGTACATTTCAGGAGCTTGAACATCTTTTCTAATTTCTTAACCCAAGACTCAGCCACATCGGGATCAGGAACTCCCTTAAAGCTAGGCGGGTTCATATTCTGAAATTGCTTCACTAATGTTAACTGCTCATTTCCTTCTCTAGAGTCCACTGTTTGTTGCGAATTGCCAACAGTGTTTTGTGGGGCATTATTGTTGTTCTGATGCTGAAGATAATCCTTAAAGATGGAACTCATATCTGTAATGGCCTTTTGCATTATGTCCATTCGGGTATTCACATCATCAGCAGGAGGAGTAGAAGTATTGTCTCCTTGACTCATCTTTCTTCTCCGGTACTGATACAAACAAAGAGTGCAAAACTAATAGTTAGGCAAAATCTAATCCTATGACACTAGACTCTAACTCATATGGCAGATCAATATATTAGCAAAACCTTGGCTCTGATACCAAAAATGTAACACACCTCCCTAGGCACTTTAGTCCTAGAAGAGTTCGGAAACAAAATTTATAGTAAAGAATTGCAACGGAAGTAAAACACTTGTGATATAAAATATTTGTTCAAAAGAAGCCTACATTCAGAAAATCAATTTAATAAAAAGAATATCATATATATATTGGAAAATGCCAAAATGTTCAAAGATATAAAATAAGCCAAGCTAAACTCATTTATAATTAATTTAAAAGGTTTTATACAGAAAGCTAATATACACAAAAATTATACGAGGCAAATTCTTTTTCAAAGCTTTTCAAAAACAAAAGCTGAGTCATGGTTTTGGTAACACATCGATCTGCCTCCTTATCGAAAACACGAGGCCCTAGCTTGTACATACAACGAGCAAGCGAGTCCCGTGCCAAAAGCTCTTAAACCGAGATGCTGCTACCTCGATCTACTGATCTGAAATGGGGGGGGAATTTTATGAGCTCACAGCCCAGTAAGTAATAAGCTTAAGCTATAAACTTGGGTCCTAAGACCCTTAGACCTATCCACACAAAGGGCATAAGACACAACGGAGTCAAACCATAAGCACAATGTCAAGTAATAATCAATGACATTTAAATTGAATTCATATACTAAAGTCATATGCTCACAAATACGATGTCACATGCGCAATGCATAAAAATCGAAAATCACACAATGCTATGGAGTCCACTGAGGTGTGCTAGCAACACTGTACCGGAGCTAATCACGGTACTAACCCTACTGCGCAGAGGTCCACTAAATACCCCGAAGGGTCCACTGAATACCCCAAGGGTCCACTGAATACCCCAAGTTTTAAGCTTAGGTCCACTTACTCCATAGCCACAAACACATACACATGTCAAACAAATTCATAATATGTTCAAAATAATATTAGGATTTCCTATTGAAAGAGATCAAAGCATAATGCGTGAACAGTAATCGGTGAACAGTAATCGGTGAACAGTAATCCGTTAACAGTAATCCGTGAACAGTAATCCGTGAACAGTAATCTGTGAACAGTAATCGATGAACAGTAATTGATGAACAGTAATCCGTAAAATAATCCAATTTCCTTCTAATTTCTGCAGCAAAAATCACACCCAAATCAAACAATAGAAAAGACTAACTCACTATTTTTTGCCATATAAGCCCAAAATTAATCATATTTCTAATACAAGTTTAATACCCAAAAACCTTATAAATCAAAGGATTAAAATCAAATCTCACTAACTTAAACTACCCAGAACTCTAACCCAAAATTCATAACTAAAACTCATACTTACCTAACAAAAGCACCTTAACCTTGGTGGAGAAAGGAGGAAGAAAATGATGTGGGTGGAAGAGAAAGGCATGAGGAAGCAAAATGAGGCTTTTGGGAGGCTTCTGGAGGCTTATCCAAGCTTCCACCGACAAAGACCAAAAACTTGGTTGGGGAAATGCCATGTGGTAAACAAAATTGGCATAATTGAGTTATGGTCATTCAACTTCTACTTAATTCTACTTAAAGCCCCCAAACTTTCAATTCAATCAATTTAGTCCCTAAAACTATAAACTAAAGGACACTAATTTTTAAATTATTCACTAAGGTATGTGGGGTGTTACAGTGTTACTCTTACTTCTTCTGTGTTGGCGACCATTCCTAATTTTTACATGCAAACCATGATGCTTCCTGCTTCGGTTCATAAAGAGTTGGACCAAATCTCTCGTAATTTTATTTGGGGATCGGAACCCGATAGTAGGAAACTTCATTTAGTGAATTGGCAAACTGTCACTCAACCCAGAGTTCTTGGTGGCCTTGGCATCAAAAGTTCTAAAGATGCTAACCTTGCTGCGATGGCCAAGCTCAATTGGAGGCTTTACACTGAAAAAAATAGTCTATGGGTTGGTCTTCTTCGAAATAAATACAATGCTCTCAACCTTCACAACCCTCCTTCCAATTCTGGATCTCCTATGTGGAAGGCCATTACCAAAGGATTTGACATCTTCCAAGCTGGTATAAGGTGGATACCTCACAATGGGGTTAATATTTTGTTTTGGAAGGATTGTTGGTTTAGTGACACTCCTCTTGTTTCGCAAGTTTATGGCCCTCATATCCAAGACTTTGATTATATCACTGTTTCTGAGTTTCTTTTGGTAGGTGTTGATGCTCTTGATCTTATTGCTTACCAATTGCCCAAGGATATTTTAGACCAAATACTTGCTGTGCCAATCTCTTTTTCTTCTAACAGAGATGATACCTTGTCTTGGAAAGGAGGTCTAGATGGATCCTTTTCTCCTTCTCATGCGTACCTCATTGCTAGAAATCTCCCCCCTTCCACGAAAGATGATTGGAGGTGGATATGGAAGTCTCAAACTTTTCCAAAAATTCAAACTTTCATTTGGCTTCTTTCTCATGAGCTGTTGAAATGTTTTGAGTTCCTAAACAAATTGGGCATTACCCCCTCTGCTACTTGCCCAAGGTGTCATGCTGCTGTAGAATCAGTGGAACATCTCATTCGTGATTGTCCTGTGTCTGTTTCCATCCTTGTTGACTTACTTCCGGGTACATTCACGCAAACACAACGTGATCTTGATTTTTATGCTTGGCTAAAATATAATTGTAAGCGGAAGGACTCTAATGGGGTTCTTAATATCCCATGGGGAGTGATTTTTTGCTTTGCACTTTGGGGTATTTGGTTACATCGTAACCAAACCCTCTACAAGCCTCACGCTTATCCTGTTACTACTTTTAGAAGCCTTATTATTGAGAAAGCTGCTGAATTTTGGGCTTTACATCCCAATCATTCTCCCCACTATGGCCAAATTAGATATTTCAAATGGTCTAAACCTTC